TCACATAGCATGGCAATATAATTTTGAAAACCGACTTTTATTCGACGACCTTGGCATAAGTAATCAATATTTTCGTTGACCGTCAATCGTACACTGCACTAAAAATCAGTTTCATCGCGTGAATGTCGGAACGTTTTAGTCTTTTTCTTCGTGTGTAATTTGTTTATCGAGAGACACCATCTTCCCAAAGTAGGATTCACAAATTTATGTAGAAAATCCTTGTAGGGAGGGAGGATTCAGCATAAATAAGGCATAGGAGTAGAAACATGTATATTACTTCTGCTCGCAGGTTAATCCAAAAATAAGGAATATATGTCGTCTTGGAGACCGTAGTTGAATCATGGTCCCGTATTGATGTTTTATGTTGACATTTTATTAGAATTCATTGTATACACATTTATTTTAGGATCAACTGGATAGGGCTTTCAGATAGAGCGAGTCTACCGAATTTGTCGGTAAGGCCGTTGTGGCGTTAGCTGCAGATACAAAAGTACAAAAAAAAAGTCAGGAAAAGTTTAGATGACTTATGATCTTGCTAACGAATATGGTTTCAAGGACATTGACGGTGAGTCAGTTTTATTTGATTTAATCAAAATCTTTATTTCAAAATCTCAATCTTAAGCATTTAAACCCTTATGAGATGACGTGCGATTGTCTCGTAAATTGGAAACCGCGCTTCAATTCTGGCAAAAATTCAATTTATTACGTTTTGTAAGAAGTTTTGAGTTAAAACGGTTTTTTTTCACAAGGATGTGGTTTTTTTTTTCTTTGCAAAACGCAAGATTTTAGGAAGCATTAGCATTAATCTTGCTAGAAATCGTTCTTCGATGATAATGTTCTCTGAAGACTTGATCTACGTGAATTTCTATTGGAGCACTCACCAATCTGCGTAACTGTCGGAACGGTGCCCCCAGCTGACGGTCATAATAACCCTCATGGTCCGCAAAAGATTTAGATGCTTCACTTTCTATCCGTTTTATTCATGGCTTTAACAATCTTTAATCATTTTAGGTAGCTTAACAATGGATATTCGTCGGTTCTCAACGGCTCTTGAATTCTTCGGATTCAATCGGATTGCCTCCATCATTCCCACCTTCCTCAGAATTCCTCTGTGGGGCATCATTTTGCCTCCTATAAATTCCCCTGTAGGTTATGGTAGATTTCATGTCACTGTAATTTGTGAATTTTTTTAGTCAGGTCTTTCAGAGTTTTTTTGCAACACTATGCAACAGACCACGCCTTTTTTTTTACTCAAAAACTGTAGTGTTTTCTACCTCGTGTTTATCCTTATTTAGTGTTTTATATGTTCTTATTTAGTGCTGTAGTGTTGTCTACCTCGTGTTCATCCTTATTTAGTGTTTTGCATCGTTTAACTCTTAATCGTCAACATAAAAAAAAAATGTTCCAGTCTGCAAAAGTCATCTTTTTTGCTTGTTCTCTGTTCCACTGTTTTGCAATTCGATCTGAGTATAGTAATAAAGTCTTTAGAGCTCCACGCGCTATTGTGTTATTATCCGCTTGTTTACATAGTTCATAACCCTATCTGAATAACGAAAGTACATTCACAATCACCGTTAGGCCTATGTCATCTTGGTCGAGGAAATTTTTGCGCTTCTGGAATTCCAAGATAATTGATTAGGATGGTCCTTGAGGACATTGGCGATTAGTTACTGAATTAACTAGCTAGAGTTCAGAGTGTTTATTATACTGTTATCGTCGTCTATACTATTTATTATAGTATCATTATGTTTTAACTTTTCCTTAGTCATATGAAATCTTACACTTCAAATTTTCTTAACTTCAATAAAACGCTTGGGACCCACTCATTCTCGTCATTGGTCTAGTTTTTTACGAATACAGTGTTACATTGGTGTATACTTTAGCTAAACCGTGAGCTGATTTGAAATTATTGCGATTAAAGCATCAGATAGTTAGTGCTTCAATGATTCTGTTTGAGACCTGAGACTAAAGCTCACGTGCTGCAACATCCTATACTGAACTGTTTTCAATCAAGCTGTTTTGGACCATACAATTCGTTTTGAAGCTAATAAGTGTGACAGTTGTCATATAATGAGTCTCACCTCATCCTCTCAAAACACAAAGGAAAACCTAGCGTCTAAGAGTTATGGACTCGCTGCTTGCATTACGAGACGTGATGCAAATAAGGTAGCGGCCTCATAAGACGATTGAAAATGATGGACCTTCAAAGGAGCACTAGGTGAGTAGTGAAAATCATGGCCTTTGGCAAGGTAAAACCGATGGTGGTGATTGTGGTGCTCTCTGCAACAATGTTACCTAGCCTTGTTCTGCGTTACTGAAAAACAAAATTAGTTTGTCGAATGACGAGTGTTCTTGTTTCTGGTTTTTTTCCCTTATTCTTCAAAATCGTTCCAAAATCCTTATGAAAGAATGCTATGAAACTTGACGCTCGTGTTTGGCCAATACTCTCGGGTGCTCCAGTCCACCTATTTAGAGTAGGCATCAACAAACGATTTATACAATTGCCGTCAAGTGAAAAAAATCACTAAATCCGCGGTGTGGTACACTCGATTGCTCTTGTCTGGTATTTTTGGAACATTATAACGTTTGATTTGATTGTTCGTCGTCGCGTAAGTAAGGGGACTGGAACACTCCGAGAGGATTGGGTTAAGAAGGATCTACGCCAAATCTCGCATTCTCTTCATGCATGTAAGATTATATGTACTACTAATTTCCAATAAAAACTGAAGGACTCGTGAAGTACGAAACAGTGATAGAAATAAAACTTCACCTTCTGTTTACTGTTTGTTTCATTCCACATCAGTGTGTCGCGTGAATTACAACCACTAGAATGTTGTGATAAAGCGGCGAGTATTCAAACGAAAGTATTCTCCATGCCAACAATTTTTGTGCATCAGTTACATTCTGCTGAAGTTATGAAAGTGTTTTACTAAGTGAATTTCGTGACAATTTGAGTACTCCAAGCTGTGAAAAAAGCGAAAACCAAAATATGAACCAATAGCTTAAGGAATAGATTTTCTTCATAAGTTCTTCACAACCTCATGTCTACTTTCAAGATTAGAGAGAACACCTTACATGAAGAAGAAAAAGTTTATTCTGTATACTGTGTTACAGAAACAACGCCCTATGGAACGCCACAGCTAGGCTATCCTCGTGACTTCAAAGAGACTCGCTCAGTCACCATTCTACGACGTCCAAGAAGAAGGCGAAAAACGAATTGAGTGCTAGAAGTACTGGGATCCGCACAACGAGAAAATACTGTGATGACGTTTCAAATAAATGAATAGATAACTGTGTTATAGCTAATTTTAGGCCTTAGAGTATATCAGTTTCTTTTCTAAAACATTTCTTTAACGCATACTACTGGCTAATGTTCAACACATCAACAACGGACGTGTCTCCTTATTGGAAAATGTCTTTGAAAAACGATTCTTGTTGGCACAGATATGTTGTATCTATGAAGTATTTGGCAAACAGTAAAGGGCACGGTGAGTTAGTTTCTTGAGATGCTCGCATTACTAATCGGTTCGTTTTCTTCTTTTGTTTGAAAGGAAAAGGAGAATTTTACCAAAGTTGGACTTGTAAGATGAAATTTCAAGCTAAGTATTTGACTATGCATCGACACTTGTACGTAGGAGACGAAATATGCAAAATGCACGTGACCGCTACCAATCTCATTCGTCACTGCTTTTTTCAAGAGAAAGTACAAGGGAAAATACTAAGCCTTACAATGAATACTGCTTTCTTGATCAGCAAAGCACGAGGATCTTGATGTACAACCTATCCCAATGGCTGGTGAATCTCAGCTATTCCAGAGTTCGGAGTAACCAAGTTGGCTGCAACCAAATCAGCTAAAGCCTCCACAGTCCCAACAGAAAATCGCAAATCCTAAATTTCAACTGCACTTGAGTCAGACGTTACTTTTCTGCACACTCACCACTTTCGAGGAGTCTTCCACTGAATGCTTTACATAGAGGGCAAAGATGTCAATTTGCCAACTGCCCAGTTTGCTAGTTCAGCAGTTTGTCATTTTCGAAATTAATTTTGCTAGTAGATGTAGGACTCTTTCTATATTGGGTTTTAGCTTTCTGCAACAGTATTGTTTTATTAAGTTTCTTTTTTCATTTCAAATCGAGTAATTTCTGAAAACATGTTTAGATTCAAATGAAATGGACTACCGCAAAGTGATGTTTTGATTCGACTCTCCACTTTTTAGAAACTGGATCGGACCACAATACCACACCCACCGAATATTCCTGATGTTGCTTCATAGTGTTTTTATCTTTCCCTCACCCTAATGGAGCATATACGCAAAAAGGCATTCGAAGACAACCAGCTCAAAGGTGACCCAGGCGACTTTTTTCTCACCATCAGCTTCAATCTGTTTAGGCCTGAGGTATACAATTTTTTCCAACAACTGGTTGCATAACATTGATCATGTCGGTGATTATACTGTTAATCAAGTGTTTTCCAATATAGTTGGACAAGAGTGTCGAATTACGAAAGTAATCAAGCGCCAGCGCAATAGTCTACAGAACTGTTCGTCATATGACGATGATCAGAGCATGCTTTCGAAAAATATATTGTTCATGTATTTACGAGAAGAAAAGGATATGGATTTTCTATGAACGCTGTATAGAGCTAAGCAAAAAGTTCCGTGTTGTTGCAGATCGTGTTGTTTCATCACTAGCTAAAAAGTGAATATCTTTGCCACAGCATTCTTCTCAACTTTCGAACTGATTGTGCCTAGTTGGCAGTTTCCTGTCAATGCAGAAAAAATACGCGAATATACCCAATGATAAGAAGTGATGTTCAAAAACATTTGCGTCAGCTGGAATTCGAGCCCACATCTCACCGTTTCCGGGTGCGCGTGCTGAACCGTTCACCATCGAGGCCCGTTTTGCACAACACTCTTTCCACGCTACAATGCGTTATCTGTTATTTGTTATCCGTTATCAACACGTGATCTGTGGTAACGTAGAAAGAGTATGTCAAAACAGGCGTCGGTAGTACAACGGTTGAGCATGCGCCCCCGGATGGGGTGAAATGTGGGCTCGAATCCCACCTGATGCAAACGTTTTTTGCACATCACTCTTTATCACTGAGTATATTATGGATCTTACCACCGCTAAAGTCAGCCAAATAAAAAGCATCAAAGTCGTGCAAACACTTGATGTTCTCTCGACTGAGTGAAGCTCAAAACCGTGCAGATTATTGCTTTAATCCAGACTAAGTGATTTTTCGCTTTTTCTTCTCAATGCAGATTCAAAAGACATGGCGCGGTTTCATAAAAATCGCTCATTCACAATTCAAGCGTCTCTCATTTTTTTTAACTAATCGACTCCTACAGCGGTTAGGGTAACATCTTTCAGCTGTTCCTCATGATGTAATACCACTGAGAGCCATGAATACTTGAATGTTTTCATTACTATTTGAGCCAACTTGTCATGTGGTCTGTTAAGGGCTCTTGTACGGCCTGATGCACGTGTTTCGTCCTTACAGACTCATATGCAACAATATTTACTGGCAAACTTAGCGGAAAGCATAACGATCCCTCAGTTTCGAATCACGTGAAGAATCTAAGAGAACTTTCAGTCGACTATTTTGATACTTCTTTAAGAACAGTATAATCTGACATTGTATTCTGAGCCTTTCATGAGGTGTTCTACGGGCAGTTAAACAATGCAAGGTACGTGTTTTGGCTTTACAGTCTCCTCAGTTGCACGGTGCATTTCAGGGGTAGATAGGAACTTCAAAAAAATTATCTTTTTCTACATGAAACTTATAGAAATTTTTAGATCTTCCAGAAACTGACTCAACCAAAAGACACCGTGCAACTGACGAGGCCGTATAATCGAAACACATGTCTTGTCTAAATGTGCAGTAATAGACCTCATGAAAGGCCCAAAATAAATTGTCACATGTGAAGATTAGTTAATGAAGTAGAGTTCCCCTCATATTTTGAGTCCTCGAAAGATACATATAGGTATTCGCTCAGCAAAAAGTTCAGCCAATGCGATAATTTCATGGATGCAACAGACTACCACTGTTATGTCTTGCACCACGAAATACTGTTTTTTCCACATGTGAGAAACCTTGAATGGCACAGAGCGCCGTTGTTACACCATCCACTTTTGGGCATAGAAGATCGAAATTATGTAACTGATTGAAAATTCAATCTTGTTCTTTTGCCAGAATCTTATCAGCTAAAGTCACACTTATTTAGCTCTACAATGTTTTACTGATGAAGGCAGTATAGTATCAGGTCAAATGTATATGCTCAGTTTCATTGGAGGACTCAGATACCGTGACTGAAATCGTTGCTTTAGAAACTACCACTGGCGTGTAAGCGGTAGGAATGCCTAGCCTGTGCATTTGGAATACGATGAAAGTCTATTGAAATGTTTAAGATAAGGGAACATACTTCTGCTATCGACTGCTTTTTTACAGACCCGCTCAAAATGATTTAATCTGATAAGGATATTACTTGTTTTGAGCCGATAGGTCTAGTGCTATATAGGGCGCCTATTTCGTCCTATTGGGACTCATCAGTAGCACCCTCCCTCGGTTCCGTCGATCCCTTGAGGTGAAATAATCCGCTAAAGGAACCGACGCCGAGTAAAATTAAGCACCCAAAGTAGGATGATGGTATTACCTGACTTTGTGGTGACCGGTGAAATGTATACGACACGGACAACGTACTTGTAGTGATGCTGCTTTAAATGATTACAGCTGTTCTGTGATCACGTTACAGAGTTACTAGTACTGACATTGGTCTAAAAACTGGTGTCGGACTCGTATAGGATTGACCAAATTTCCCCATTTGAAATGCCTTAGTACGGCTACCCTCGAAATTCATATCGCACTGAATCGATCATTATTCAAGGGCATTGCAAGAGCAGCACATTATCTCACCGTGTAAAGTAATGTTCAAAAAATCGCCAAATAGTTGCACCCTTAAAACTTTTCATTTTCTAATGCTTGAATATTTTTTGCCTTTTACTACTTCATTTTTCGCTTTTTTGGCTCAATTATCTTTTGTATTCAAGTTTTTATAGCACAGTCATAGGATTTACTCATTAAGACTTGTTAACTGATCGTGTTTCAAATATTTTCAGTTGACAGCTAATTATGGTAGCTCATACAGCCAGTTATCATTTGCTATGAGCGGTTCAAATTCTCTCTATAACAACGACTGTTCGGCACCTTTTATCTGCGGAAAATGGCCGTGCTCCAAAATTTATTGTTTAACAGGCGATTATGCAGTTAGAGCTTCAAAACAATCCAAAAAGATAACTCAAAAAGAAGTATACTTCTGCTATCGACTGCTTTTTTTTGCTGCTTTTTTTTTGCTTTTTGCTTTTTTTTCTGTAAAAAAGCAGTCGATAGCAGAAGTATAGTTCATTTTAAAAGCCGTAAGCTCGACTGCCGGTCACCACAAAGTCAGGTAATACCATCATCCTACTTTGGGTGCTTAATTTTACTCGGCGTCGGTTCCTTTAGAGGATTATTTCACCTCAAGGGATCGACGGAACCGAGGGAGGGTGCTACTGATGAGTCCCAATAGGACGAAATAGGCGCCTATATAGCACTAGACCTATCGGCTCAAAACAAGTAATATCCTTATCAGATTAAATCATTTTGAGCGGGTCTGTAAAAAGCAGTCGATAGCAGAAGTATAGTTCATTTTAAAAGCCGTAAGCTCGACTGCCGGTCACCACAAAGTCAGGTAATACCATCATCCTACTTTGGGTGCTTAATTTTACTCGGCGTCGATTCCTTTAGAGGATTATTTCACCTCAAGGGATCGACGGAACCGAGGGAGGGTGCTACTGATGAGTCCCAATAGGACGAAATAGGCGCCTATATAGCACTAGACCTATCGGCTCAAAACAAGTAATATCCTTAAGATTAAGGGAACATACTTTGAATCGTTTAGAGTGACGCTACTCTGCTTCTTCCTTTCCAGCTCTAGAACGTTGAAAATTTTCAAACGCATATGTTTACAATACTTCGTATGAGTTTTCCTATTTCTGTTTCGCATGAAGAGAAAACAAAATTCTTCACTGAGCAGTTTTATAAGTCGAAGCGATGATTTACTGTGAAAAATAAACGTAGAGAAGTCGGACAGCTTATTCGTATAGTACTGCTAGGTATGAGCACAGTGTTTGCGCTCCCATATTCCGGGCAAACTAAGTCCGGTTCCCACCCAAATCTATAAAGGATCCGCCATAATTCTCAAATTGTTGGTGCCGTTACGGTTATCCACGGAAATCACATTGCATTGGCTCGATCACTATTCAAAGACATTACTGGAAACAGTACACTGTTTTGTGGTGTGAAAAATTATGCAGAAAAGTGAGCAGATTGTTGCATTTTTTCGAAGGCTTTTATAATTTACACGTTCTCAGTTTTTATTAACTAATTTGTCCGTTTTTGTTTGAAAAGTCATCTCCTTGCTTAGCAAATTGTTAGCTCAGTTTTAATGCGATTTATATCTATTTCGCTGAATAATAGTATTTCAAATGTTTCTAGTTGGCAGCTCGTTAAGCTAGATAATTCAGTGATGAACCATTGCCGTTAATGATATGTAATGCTTCTGTACCGAGGAGTGTTCAACACATTCCAATTATAGTCTACCAGGCGAGAACTCGCGTTGTTTTCAAAACAGCTCAAAAGGATGACTTCTGAACCAGAGTACTTGAAGGTTTTCTAAAAGATATTTGCGTCACCATAATCGTTGCCTTGAGATAGTGATCAGATCAGTGAATTTCCCAGTCGACTCCACTGTAATGGAATTTTTCCACAAGCTTTCTACCAAATACTTGCACACGCATCTCAAAGGGAAAGCTCAGTACTGTCGAATCATCAGCTTTTTCGAGATTATCTGTGAACGTGACTAAAATTGAATAAGCAGCTTCATGCTGCATTAGTTGAAGTACTACTCATCGAAGTTTCGGCACAACATTCTCCTTGCACTTTCCACACGCCATCATATCTAGGAAGTGAAGATTTTTGAAGGAAATCACACTGCTGCAAGTCCTCACTCCAGCAGTGATGCAGTATTTCATCGTTTATTTTATTTTCTTCGAGAACGCTATCTTCTTCACGACCGAAAATGTCAGACCTTCTCCTCGAACTTTTGGAGCTATTAGGCGGGCTGGAGACTCAATGGTAGTAAAAAACACGGCAGTGATGAATCGAAGTAGAGAAAACTCTCATTCATTCTTCGAAAAGGTGCTTCTGCGGAACATAATGATGTGATGGGATTGTTGACATTGTTGAAGGTATATGTAGAAAAAGAGAATCAAACGGTATGCCAAAGTCCACTCTCACAAGGGAGTTGATTACACGCCTCACCTATATACATCACCAGCGATGCTTACACAACTCTTTTTTTTGAGATATCTCATCGTAGCTGTCAGTAGCCCACCTTCAGCAGGTTTTGTCGGGTCAGCATATATCTCATTAAACACAGTTAAGTTGATAACCGTAGTATATGGAACTCTTGCACATTCTTCGTTATTAGTGCTTTCCTCGGTGCTGTGATGTTACGTCGGTGGTGTAATGATGGCATGTACCTTCGATATGAATGAAATACGGGCTCAGCTCCCGTCTGAGGTCATATACGAATCACGAATGTTGTGTACGAAATGTCGTCTATGTCTCTACAATTCTCTTTGGCGTGCAAATTAAATAAAATTCGTCATGGGGCAGTTTGAATAACGAAGCAGTGGTTTTTTTTCGGATAAAAAATGTAAATGACACTGGAAACGTACTTATAGTGATGCTTCTTTAAATGATTACAGCTGTTCTGTGATCACGTTACAGAGTTATTAGTACTCACATTCGTCTAAAAATTGGTGTCGAACTCGTATAGGATTGGCCAAATTTCCCCATTTGAAATGCCTTAGTACGGCTAAACTCGAATCATATCACACTGAATCGATCATTATTCAAGGGCATTGCAAGAACAGCACATTATCTGACCGTGTAAAGTAATTTTCAAAAAATCACCATAAAATTGCACCCTTAAAACTTTCTATTTTCTAATGCTTGAATATTTTTTGCCT